CACCCCGGCTCTCCCCGCTCAGCTGGGGACGGGAGCTGCCTGCCTCTGGGGCCAGGGGGCATCCGGCATGTTGGTGTCCGCCTGCCTGGGCTGTTCCTGTCCCGGGGGGCTGTGCGTGTCCTGGAGCAGCCCCACTCGCTGGGGGTGGCCTGGGCAACAAGAAGGCTGCGCTGCTCATCCCACGCCGGCTCTGGGAGCCTTCAGGGGCCCGGGCGGCACCGAGCCTCACTGTATGCCCCACAGCGCCGGGGCTCATCGGGGCCCCTCATGGCACCGGGGCTCATCGGGCCCCTGGCAGCGCCGGATCCCCCACAGTGATGGGGAGCATTGGACCCTGCCAGGGCTCAGCGGGTCCCCAAGCACCTCAGACCACCCACACCCTCCCAGGCACGGGGTGCCCTCCGGAGACCTGCGCCCTGATTAGCTGCTCTGCGTGATCACCGGCACAGTGAAGGGCCGGGCTGTGATTGGCTGCCTGCGGATGATCCTGGAAGCTGGGCTACGATTGGCTGTCAGAGGATCCCCTCCCACCAAAGCAGAGCTGTGACTGGCTGTGCTGTGACTGTGCCTCCTGCTCCTGCTGCCCCAGGTGGCTCTGGATTGGCCGTCGTCTGAAAGATCCTGTTGGGATCACAAAAGCTGGGCTGTGATTGGCTGCTGCCTGCCCCCTCGCCACCTGGACCCACCAATGCCAGCGCATCGGCTCCACCGGGATCCGGCTGCCTGCTCCGCTCCCCACGGCCCCAGGAAGACCCTGCCTGGCAGCTGCCCACGCGCCCTCCCGCAGAGCCGCCCGCCGGAGCCCGTCTGCGCCCCCCCCACCGGAGACCCCGAAGAGCCGCGGGGGCGGGTGTGACCGCGGCGGTGCTGCATGGGGAGGAGGGCTGGCTGGGCACGGGGCTGGGCTTGCAGGCATCTGCCTGCCCCGGGGGATGGCAAGGGGTGTTGCCCATTGTGTTCTCCAAGTGCTGACGCAGGTTTCCACATCGCAGGCTTCTCTGATCTGGCAGGAACTGGAGGCTGAAGAACAAGAGCTGCAGCTCGAGGCGCCCCAAAGGCCTGCAAGAAACTCCTGGAGGCCCCGTGGCCAGAAGCAGAGTCCGGGCACCCCCCAGCACCCAGACGAAGGCTGCGTCAGATACTTTGTCCTGGCCACCACGGCCGCAATTGTGGCCCTCTTCCTGAACGTCTTCTACCCGCTCATTTACCAGACCCGCTGGAGATAGGCATGGGCGTGCAGCCAGCTGCGGGAGCAGGGCTGCTGAGGCACGCGCCGTCCTAGGACGCTACGCGACGAAGACATCGGGCAGCAGAACAGAAACTGCCGGGAAGGACTTGCCAAGGGAAGTATGGGGCCGTCGGCTCCTGCCTGTCTGCTCTGGCATCTCCTGTGCCAGCTGGCAGGGCTGCGTGGCCAGCCCGCTGCCTTGCCAAGGCACAGCCCAGAACCAGGAGCCCCTCTGCCCTCCCTCACCCTTGCTGCCCGCTGGGAGCGGGACAGACCTCGTGGCTACCTGCTGCTCAGGAGGGGACGTTGACGCTGCAGCACGGACGGGGCCTGGGAACCCCCTGGGAACAGCGACCGCCTCTGCTTGGCTCCCAAGAAAGAAGCGGAGACCTGCCAGGAGGCTGCAGCAAGGGCAGGATGCCCTGACACGGGTCCTGGTCCGGCCGCCTCGCCCAGCTGTGTTGCTGCGGGAGCCTTGTGCTCCCTGGGGCTGGCGCAACCCACGGCTTCTGGGCCAGCCCTCTTGCCGGCCTCCCCCTGAGCCTTCTGGTGCCAGCTGCCCATGCACCAGGAGTTGTGCGCATCGCACCCCCATGCTGGGGCTGAATGGGCTTGTCACCGAGGGCCTGTGTGCTTCCCTGCTCAGCCAGAGGCTCAGCCCTGCCACAGCTCCTCTCCCCTGGGCAGCTGCTGGGGAACCTGGCAATCTGGGCTGGGGTGCCCATGGTGAGCACCTGCCTCCGTGGGCTGCGGGCTCCCACCAGCCCCCAGCGTCATGGGGCATGTGGGCTGTCCCCCCTCGGCACCAGCTGGCTGCGGCTGGGGCGCCGGGTCTCTGCCGGGGGAGCGTGGTGCAGCGCCTCGTTTGTGAGGGGCCCGGCTGCCCATGCCATGGGAGAGGCGTGGGGTCGGGGAGCGCTGGTAGGACCTCGGTGTGTTAATAAAGCCAGGTTTTCCAAAGAGATGCAGCATGCCTGTCCTGTGTGATGGGACCCCCAGATCAGGGCAGGGACTGTGCTGGAGCCGGTGACCTTCCTGTGCCTGAGGCGACTCTCTGGCCCAGCCAGCACGGGGATGGTGCCCTGGGCTCTGCCGGGTGCCTGGTGCACCCTGTGCAGCAGCGGGCTCAGGTGCTTGCCGGTGTCCCCAGCCGTGGGGCGGCAGCCCCGGTGGGGCACGTGCAGGGTGTGGGGAGCGCGACGGGGGCCAGCAGCACACTGTCCCGTGGGGCTGGGGCACGGGCTGACAGCTCCAGCAGTGTCTGACATTGAGACGTGTTGCCCTTGGCTGAGTGTGGCTCAGACTGCTCTGGCATGTTTGGGTGCGAGAGGTGACTTCAGAGCCCTGTGACTTCCTTTTCCGTCTCCGCCTCTGTCCTGCCGACGGTGCCCTTGGCTGGCTGGGGAAGGATGCTTGGCAGGGACGGGCTCACCTGCATTTCTGGCTGGGGCTTGAGCCGGGCAGTGGGGAGCCCAGGGCTCCCCCCACCTCAGTCCTGCACCCCTCTTGCACATGTGCTGTGGTGTCCTACCGGCCAAGCGGGTCCCAGCCAGGGAGCCCGGCAGGGTCATGAGGTGCCCTTCCTGGAACAGTCACCTCATTGTCTGCTGCCCCGGGGCTCGGCGGCTTCTCCCACTCGCCCACGGCGCTGGCCTCGTGGGGCTGAGTCAGTGCCTGGCGCTGGTGGGGTGACCTCTGCTCTGGCTGGTGCTGACGCCCCGGGGTTGGGGCCCACAAGCCGCTGCCTGCACCTGCCTGCCCACCCTCCCTGGAGGTGGGGGGGCCC